GTGTTTCGTTGAGCGATCGCATATTGTGTGTTTTTATAAGAATTGTTGTGTGATTGTTATTGTTGTGGTTTCTGTGGTTACTGTTTTGGTTATACTTAACCATGGAGAGTACAAATGGCACGAGTGGAAGTACTGAAAGCCAGGGAACAAGTAGACGGCTTCGTAAAGCACTGAAGAGGGACGCGAAAGAAATCGTGCTCAACGTGTTCAATTATCTGAACAGAACTATGTCGCAGGGAGATGCACTCGCGCGTTGTGAAAGTATGACAGGCGTTCCAGAGTGGACCATTCGCAGGGTGGTGCATGAAAAGAAGAAAACTGGAGCTACTACTGATCCAAAGTTTAATTTGAAGGGACGAAAGGCCGTTAAATTGGATGACGATAGCAAAATGGCGTTAAGGCGAACCGTACATTCATTCTTCTTTAGGAATGAGGTACTAACCCCCAAGGCTGTACATGCAGCGATCAAGGAAAATGAAATTATACTCCAAATGAGCGTCGAGGTAATGAGGAAATCCCTGCACGAAATTAATTTTCATTACGAAACGCGTAATCGGAAGTCAGTATTGATAGAGAGACCTGAAATAGTCGCCTGGCGTCGAAAATACCTACGCGAAATGATTGAATATAGGCGATAAAGCAGAAAAATCTATTATTTGGACGAGACATGGGTAAATGCAGGTCACACAGTTAAAAAAACCTGGATAGACAAAAACGTAGTGAGTAACCGACAAGCAAGCATTGAAGGTTTGTCAACAGGTCTTCGTGGACCGTCAGGGAAAGGTCAAAGATTGATCGTAACTCATATTGGTAGCGATAGTGGCTTTTTAGAAGAGTGTGACTTGATTTTCGTCTCTAAGAAAGGAAGTGATTACCATGACGAAATTAATGCCAGCTGCTTCGAGAGCTGGTTTCAAGGGGTGCTTGAGCGAGTTGAGCCCAACTCTGTGATCGTCATGGATAATGCTTCCTACCATAGTCGTCGAGCCGAACGTGTACCGACTATGGGATCTCGAAAAAGTGACATGCAGCAATGGTTGCGCGAACATTAGTTACGTGACTGATGAGATGGCCCGTCAATGTGGTGTCACTGTGCTGCGGTTACCGCCCTACCACTGTGAACTGAACCCAATAGAGCTCATCTGGGCTCAAGTGAAGGGTTATATTGCGCGCCATAACACAACCTTCAAATTACCAGACGTTGTTTTACTTGAGACTTCCATACAGCTAGTAACGCCCGAAGCTTGGCAGAATGCTATCCGTCATGTTGTGAAGGAAAAAACAAAAATGTGGCAGCTTGACCACCACATCGACACCATCATAGAGCCAGTTATAGTCAATTTCAACGAGGAAAGCGATAGCGACAGTTTATTACTGTCAGATGTAAGTGGAAGCGACGATGAATAAAGGTAATTCCCAAATTTTTGACTTACAATATGTTTCAAACCACTCTTTATTAAGCATGTGATAAATCTAGTTCACCCATGTTAAACATTCATACCCCGCCTATGAACAGCCGACTACTGGTAGTTAAGTGATGTTCACGTGAACATCGATGAGTCATTACAGTTTTAGATAGTTATAGTATAACACCAAGTTGATATCCAGGGTCATCGAGATAGCGTAGACATATCTTCATTTTACATACATGAAAGTGCTCCTCCTCGACTTTCCTCATTCTCAACTAAAAATCTGTCCGCAAGCCATTGTACATTTGCTTCGTCGAACCGATATAAGTTTTTGAAGTCACGACCAAGTGAAGGTAAACGAGGTTTGTTCGTTTTAACATCCCTAACATCCACAATTTCAGCCATCATCGTTTGACCACCGTTCGTTACGAAGTTGAGTCTGCTACTGACCACACTCAGAATTTTTGAAGGATATGCTTCCTATGCCAAGTATAAGGTGAAGATTATGAATATCCTTTTACTTATGCCACTGCTTTGAAAGATATGCGTATACTCAAAAAGCAAAAGCATTTACTTCAAATTATTATAAATACCATCTGGAGGATTTCCTTCAAAATTTGCAAGTACAAGGATATCGTTTGTTTTATGGATACGGCTGAATAAATTGTTTACAAAGATTTGGTAGGTGTATGTTTGTTTAGGTTAGGACAAAAAACGACCAGCTTTTCATCCATATTGATAAAGCGGTTTTTGTGATATCGTCTGTTCTTACAAAGAAGTGAGACAGCGATGGTTGTGGTTTGTAGCTACGAGTACAAGTGGCGTTTGATCATCGTACAATACGTTGTAAGAGCTTCTTTAATTTGTTCATTATGCCGTCCGCGTCAGCTTAATATTACGTATATTTGACGATATCTAAACACATAGTACCAGAATATACCCTAATATTATTTTAGCTCTATATTGCATAAGTTTACGAGTAAACGTACTGATGTTTATTATAGAAAAGGTCTAAGTTATAAGTTTACACATTTTTTCATACATGGGACGCAAACTATGTGAATATATGAATGATTATATATATTTAGAAACTGAAAATCATGATTCAAGGGCTTTCATGTTTGAACACTCTCTTATCAACTAAATGAGTATATTAGATAAAATCGGTTTTCAGAAAGTAAATAATGGAATACCATGTGAGCTACGAGATAGGGTGGGTTAGATTACATATCGACCGTTCTGCGTGTTTAGGCCCATCACTAAGCTTCATCTTGATTGACCAAGGTTGAAGGACCGTAAGAAAAATGTTTTCAAATTCATCACTGCTTGCTCGACCCTCTTATGTCATTGATCGATGTATTCTCTATAAAAAAATCTAGAAAGAAACCGTATTCTCCAAGATGTCCAACGATATGCTGTATTTGCATGTTCACACAATTTTCATTCTCTGAAAAATCTTGATACGGAACATAATAGACCAATGAAAAAGTGTCTTTCTAGTAATGGATCAAATGAATACAGTCGATTTCTTCTAGATGGACCTCTAATTCCCATATAAAATCAAGAAATTCTTTATAAATCACCTGGTTTAGCTATAGAAACATTTTATCCACTTGATTACAATGACCAATTAATTAGACAGTGTTTTCCAAAACAGACCAATCGGAAACAAGTATCACAAACCCAACCTGTAGGTGATAGAACCTAATTTGAAACAAACATAAACACGTATGAACACTGAAAAAAAGTATATACGGGTTGTTTATTAGGTGTAGATTTCATCAAACTTCTTAATTATCTGCCACTGGTACATGTTTTTGCTGGTGTACCTAAACCACATGTCGTCTTTCAGGGTAAGTATAGAGAATTATTTTTATTATTATTATTTTAAGTACCTTTACCCGGTTTCGGCGAACATATACTTTAATTGCCTTATAAAACTTCAGAAAAAATGATTGAAACTATATAAGAAGAGGAAGGTCTGTAAAATGTAAAATGGAAACCTTTCTTGTGCTTCTTTGTCGGCGTGTATCCGTTTTCAGATAATAACGATATTCGAATACGCATTTAAAAAACGATATTTATGATAATCAATGCGGGTCAATTTCCCCCAATATGATGCCCCACCCGTTTTGTTTTATTCAACATAGTTTTTCCACACTCGTCACAACACAACACAAACTATCCGATGAAACTAATCTTATTATCACTTGAATTTCTCTTGCGACATTCTGTTTTTCCAAATATAATCAGTACGTCTTCACAGATAGTATCGATACATAATTATCGACCATTCACGGAAGCTGTGCAATGCACATCTTCGATAATGCACATCACTATAAAATTGTGACAGCAATGACGCGACGACCTCTATAACTTTAGGTACATTTTAATGACAGTGTTTAGGTAATGTCTCTGTAATTGTTTCGTTTACCGAATCTGATTTATATAATATTCACCACAAACTAAAAAACAACTCAGTATCACATTCAAACTAGAAATAACTCTCTTTGCAACCAAATTTTCTAATTTCTCGCAAAGCCGTATCCAGGAGCGAGATGCCGTTTTCCGTACATTGTGAGATCGATAGCTAAGTAACTTGATCAACACAACAATCACAGATTTCTATCATGCTTGTAACAAATTAAGTTAGCAAGGTCCGGTGTGAATACTGGTTTATGCGTTTATTAACATATTCCTTATGGCGTTGAATCACCCTGATTAACACTTGTGGATATTACCGCACGCATCTTCCCAGCCCCATCTCTAGTATTCGTTTTCCTTCTACTCTTGACAGTTGATACATTTGTAGTGCTGCCAAGCTGAACATGAATAAAATATATTAACACTGAAATGTTTGTTATTTTAACACAAAGTAGTTGAATCTAACAACATATTTTCAATTCAATTAAAAGAGTCGAAATGGAATGTAATATGACCAATCTATTTTTCAATTTGGTAGTACTGGTCAGTTCTGTGACTGGACAGCTGAGCTGATGAAAAACAGTCCTGGTATGGTATGGTCCTGTTTTCAAGTACCTATAATAAAGATTTTCCTGTTTATCCCAAGGTACCTTCTATGCATACTAAAATTAAGAATATCATTGCCAATACTTTGCATAAACACGAGTATCGCGCACACGGAGGATGGGTGTGCCAAACAGTAGATCATATATCCACAAAATACAACATTAGGTTGGAATTTAATCGATAATGACACGATCCATTTTCAAAAATATATCCTTTTTATTATCTCTCTTACAACGCTTTCTAATAGGTCATTGTTGACCCGGATCATAGGTTTTTAGCTCGGGATCAACTGAAAAAATAATAGATTCTCTTCTGACACTTCTCGTATATTTTTTTGCTAGTTTGAGAGATATTTAAGAAAAAATCGACCACATTCATCAGAGTCGTTACTATAAGGATGCCTTCTCATTGGTCCATTATGATCCGGATCAAGAATTTTGATCTCCGGTTAGTAAAATCGGGCCTTAGAAGCAATAAAAACAGGATCCCTTTTCCTTTTAATCAAATTTTACCTAGAACTTTCAAAGAAAGGTGACCTCTCAACCGCCTTCTTAGTTCTCGCTAAGATTTCTCATTCTCAACGATGAAATAGAAAATCCCATAAACTGCGGCAACAGTTCCAGATGATGCAACTTTGACACTTAAAGACGGTGTTCGACAGGCACGACTTTTCATGGGATTGGGTATCAACCTTATGTCTATTCCATTATTTATTTGCTTCAACTCCAGACAATACAAATGTTTACCATAACACTACAATAAAATTGAATTAATTAACAGGAATCACGTCCATCATTTGGGGGCTGAATGCCAAGGTAATGAACATTATAAGCCCAAGTCAAGATCGACATCGGTTGAGCATCAAAGCATTTTAAAAACTGAAGGGTAATAATAACATACTTAGAACTTGATGATGAAATATTAAGAAGGTTATTGTAGTTATACTACCTTAAAGTATGTTTCAAGCAATATGTCCATAATCTCATCCAAGATCGAATTCATTCCATTCTAGATACTGAAGACCCTTATTTCTCAAAGTAGCAGCAAAATAGATTCCATGTCTACGTATTCCTAGGGAGAAAAGTGGCATTTAATGCCAATATTAGAAAAATCTGCTCCTTTTACATTCGTCTGTGTTTTACTTGATAGACACCTCTAGCTTGCAGGCATGGGATCTAGATGCATCTATTTCGATTTCCAAAAACTTGTAATAAGTAGGAAGCATTTTCCTAATCTAGAATAAAGGGTTGAACCACATATTTCAAAAATAGTCTAATCAATTGTAGATGCAAAATGATCTGACGTTAAATTGACCAGACACTCAGCAGTTTTTCTTAAAAGTGTATAAATATCCTATTCACAGTTTATTTCGTTTCATATATTTTATGATTATTTTGAGCTTCAATATTAAAAAGACATTAATTGAACATTGAGCAATAATTCAGGGGGTGATTTTGTGAATGATTTGAAGACTGTTTTGTCACTTCTCAAGTGGATAATGTGAAAGACCTTAGACAACTTGGCGCAAAATAAGGGATGATATGACTTTATCGTATGTATCTGTGTATGTACGTACGTAAGAGGTCTATAAATTACGAGATAAAACTATTTTTTTTCATTTAAATATAATTACAATTATATCCAATATATATAATTACTATATATAAAATTACAGGAATAGCCTTCAGCTGGTCAGTTTGAATGTTTTCGACTGTCAACTTTCTGAAGAGAAAAAAGTCACAAGGACTCAAATCAGGCGCCGAAGGTTTCTGGGGAGCTACATGGCTGTTTTTACTGGCCTAAGCTCGTTCATTGACGTTGCTGTGTGACAAGGAGCATTACCGTGTCCATAATCTGATGAACAGTGATGTGAGTCAAATTTAATATTGGCTCTGGGCTCTTGACAAAACACTATCTCCGTAGGCCCGTTGAATCTTAGCAAGAGTTTCCGTTGCACTCTGCCCAAATCTGAAGCAAAACCTGACAGCACAAGTCACTGCGACCCTGTCTATGTATGTCTGTAGTCCTTCTTGAAATTTTGCATCATGTATTTCGATACGAAGCATAAACTAGTCTTAGAATAATACAAAAATCATCCCTAATTTTTTGCTCCATGTTGTGGAAACATCCTGAAGGATGATACAAGATTGCCACCCTTTTTACATTAAACAAATTCGGTATAACGAAACGCTTCCGAAAACTTTGATGAAACAATGTAAATTGATATTATTGTTGCCTTCTTCAACACTGTGATCTCTTTAAAACCAAGGATAGACATTTAAGAATTGTTAAAATAATGTGATAAGGGACCATCTACTGGTAAACGGATCGATAGCATAACTGACGGATATGAGTTTATATCTGTATCACACTTGTAGATCAAACTTAAACTCGGCATGTTTCACACCTTCTAGTAGAGTTGCTTTTGAATCGATGACAAGTATCGACTTGAAGCCAGTTATTCCAGTATTCTCGATGGCCTCTTCCGCTGTCGTTTTTGTCATTAGTCGTGTTTTTATTTTATAGACTGGCCTATTCAAATTTATGGAATATTTCAGATAACAAAAAAAGATCAGTATTAACATTGAATGTGATACTTATTGATGGCCAGCTTACGTAGAAATCTACTAGCACTAACGGAATCATCAGTAAATACTGACAGTATGGACCGCGGTAAATATCATTCGCCTTTAGGAAATTTTGTTTGTTTTGATAGAACATTCCAGTTTTGTAGTGTTTGCCAAAAAAATCATCTAGATATTTTTTGTTACGATGCAAGGACCACTCGGAGTGTCCTGTAGTGTATTTATCGCAAGATATGCTTTAACGTGTCCCCATTGCAAACCACATGCTTAATAAGTTATGCAACAGAGAGTGATGTTTGGAATATTAAACAACTTTTACTGGTATCGAAAAAGCAACTCTGTCATCCTACATCTCATTCAAATGTAGCCCAGATTTCATGACGTGTAATATAGCTTTGGATTTATTCCAGTGTAAACCTATATGTTGTATCGCTGTTATACTGAACGTTCTATTTTTGCATAAATGCTGTTGGCACCATGTACTCGTATTAGGTTTAAGAAAAATTGAAGTTAATGCCACATTTTCATCTCAAAGCATTTTTATTATACTGTAAAGTCTCAAATCAGGATTACTGTCAATAAATTTTGGGAGCAAACAGTGACGGCTCATGAGTGTTCAGCGTGGTTCACAAATCACAACAGGGATTTTCCAGTTACACAGAATAGTGGTTTCCAATAGCACAAAATTTGAACGTTTCCACATCATTCATTACAATTTAAAATTCCCAAGTTATAGTTAAAAATATCAATCCAATTCTCTAACTTACGCACCATCTCCTATTTGCTACTCTGCTGAAATATATGTATATCGTTTTCGTCTATTTTTTAAAGATAACTCAGTTTATAGTCGTTATTTTTTGATTGTGCGTACTGGGAAATCACCAAAACAGAATTCTTTTAGATTCATTGTATTTCATGCTGAAAGAGTAATCCTATAGGAGTTTGTTCGAATACTAATAGAATGTGACCATACATTCCATGTCAAACCGTCAAGGCCGAAGCAAAAGTTTATTTCAATCTTATCTGTCACCGCAAAATCACGGACGGAGGGTCACATTCTAAGAAAATGGAATGGAAATACATATTACGACACGCTAGAATTTATTACGTTAAAGCTGAGTGCTTTACTTTACTTTCGATCTCCGGAGGTCAAAGTTGGTCACGTCTCGTTCATAGGAAAAGGTGAAAACACCTAGAATCTACAAGGCACAATATTACACAAGGTGTATTAAATGTAATGTTTATTGTTGTCGTGTTTAATTCTGATTAACTTTACTTATTTTTGAAATACCTTTGTTTTAAAGTCTCTTTATCTATGCGTGCTCATTGCTTATAATGTACTCACTGAACGTCAGAAACCCAGTATCCTTACCCGCCCCGTAGATATAATTTTCTTTCAATTTCGTAAATAAATCTCTGCGTCTCGATAGGAGAGCATCTTTAGACCCATATCTATAGGAACTTTTTTTTGTTATTTTTAGATGTACTTTCTACCCTAGATATGGTAGCACGTCTTTCTGAAACACCCTATATTTCGTTGAAATTGAATGAAGCCGACCATTTGAAATTAAATACTACAAAAGCTTGCTAACGCTTGGTCACTATGTCTTTATTCATGAACCGCCACTTCTCATACATACCAGCTATTTCACAAATATCTTAAGAGCCTAATGACTTAACCGTTGAGCTATACTTATACATACAGCATTCAATATATCCTAGTAACATATTTTGAATAACCACATATGTAACATAAATCTAAAATCATATTTATGAAAAGTATGTATAGTTCTTTTCATGATATTTGGCGGATGTGACGTCACAATGCCATACGAAATAAGTAAACGTACCCGTAACGCAGCTGCTACTTGCTCCTGCACACACACACACACACACACACACACACACACACATGAGTTGCTCAACTAGCTGATATAAATTTATAATGTTTGATTGTTAGTGCTATTTTATTTTATAATTGTTTTATTACTGCTCTTAGAATGCAATTTTGTTTTAATATAATTGCCATATGCAACATGGCTGACGTAGTTACTCAAATATATTATATTTGCTATAAAAGATCTAACGCTTGTCTTCTTGTTGTATCAAAGACCTTTGAAAACAAATTATCTTCAGTTGGTGGACTTAACAACAAACAAAACAAAAAGGTGCATCTAAGATAATAAGTTAACTTTTATGAAATTGTGCGATTCTAATTCTATGAATGCTTTCAATAAAACTGTTTTATAATTGTTGCATACTATTTTGAATTAATATTAAACGTTTAAATAATTATCCAGTAAAAGTTGTGGCAGCCATAATAAAACGTTGTATAAACGTTTATAAAACATAAATTGTTAGTTGGGTGGGTAATAGAGGACCGGCGTTTTCACTCACTGTAGTTGGACTGCGACCCGCCAAAGTCCATGAAAAGACCTATATGTTGAATAACTCCTAAGATATCATCAGTTCATTTGAAATTATTTGTATAGCATCTGAGCGAGTTCTGTACTGAAATTGGTGCTAACTTTGATTTTAAATTTAAGATGGACTGTACCTTCCAGCATCAGTATTACTGAATTTCGCTGCAGAAATGGATGTGATTATTATATTATAAAAAATCGAAATATTCTTGGATAAGCTGAATATGTGGAAATACATTTGTCCCTTTCATCGAAGTGAACTGCCAATCAGATATGCCGGAAAGCTCTAGTCCCCTGCTACCCATGTAGGAGTTAGTAGTACTGCGTTTGGCGAAACTCATATGTGTACATGTCTCTTCGCATATCTTTGGATGTTTTATGTTATCAACGTCACGAAAAAAACATATGACGGTCTGACCGTCTGTAAATTTTTAAGCAGTTCATATCACATAACTCTTCTACTTCATCCGAACGTCAGCAACCACTGAAGAAATAAAAAAGAAAATTTTTTCTGTAGTTACACTTTTCAAACTCCTGATCATTTTTGGATGTCAGAACGAGACTGCTTCACTTATTTCTGGGAGCTATTCAATGATTTTTTAGGCATCCATGCATTTTGAAATTCCAACCTAAGGCTTTAAGGAACTTCAAAACTTGTATATATCTTTATTTTTGCTGGTTAACCTTATAGATGTACTAAAGATTTTGGAAGGTACTTTTCATATCTATCGCATGTATTCTTTGAATTCTGTATTTTCACAGAATAAGCGGTATTCTAAATGGGAAATGTGTATTCTTCTAAACCACAATATACGCATATAAATGTTATAAATATTAATATAAATGTATTCAACTATACCGGGTGTTTCAAATTCGGTTCTCACTATTGTAGAGGAGAAAAAGTGGCATGTTGAGGTACCTTTTATTTTGAAATTCCGTCTCGAATAAACCCAGGAAAAATAATAACAATTTTGGGAAAATTCAGTTTCTTTCATCACCAGTCGAATTTGAAACACCCCATATATAATCTATATATAAACTACTAGGTGTAAGCTGTATCGTATTGAATGTATATTTTGTTATATATCCTTTTGTATCGTGTAACGTTTTACACTATGTATATGTATATCAGTATAAAGAGCGCACAAAGTTATTTGTTCTTTTATTGTTTTATATTGCGTGAAACTCACCATGAAACTATTTATTGTTTACCTTGTATTGCATACGTGCAAGCATAGATTTTATAAGTTGTAATAAAAATTATACGATTCTGCCTTTCATTATGTTACTAAATTATGTCCATACTTCCTCGAATGTATGACGTTGCAGTAATTAAATTATTAGTAATGAACATAATGAGATCTGGTATTGATTAACGTATTCTACCAGGTGTATTTTGTTTTCCGCTCACAAAGAAATTCACAGTAGCTAGAAAACAAGTCGTTTTTTCTATTTAACTCTTCATTTAGTGGATTTAGCATTTAGAAGGCTGACTATTATTACCTCTAATCGCATCCTAAGAAAAAAATTCGGCCCGATTTTTTGTTTATTTTCGTGTTGTACTTTTTGTCACTAAAAGCAAACTGTAGCTAAACTGTTTTCACAAAGCTTTTTGAAAAACTTACTTAGTCAGACTTTGCCTTGAAATGATATTCCCAACTTGGGGGAATGGGACGGAGATTTTTTTCATTGTGTGGTATAGAAACATTTTCACTGTATACCGGAACCGGAAGAACATAGTGAGGAGGAGCGCCGTTTTGCTGAAAATATATTTCAGCCTCATCAAGTATAGGGTTTAGGGTTTTTGACGTGTCTTGGCGTTTTTTCTTTTAATCAGTGATTAACGATAAATCTGTGGCGGAAAGTTTTCAAATGAATACCCTGTACATTCATATCTATATACAGGGTGTTCCATAATTATTGCGACAAAATGATAGGGGTTGTAGAGGGCATAAAAATATGCAATTTTGCCTTATAAACCCCTGTTCGTAAATATGCCGTTTGAGCACTACAGTTAATTTTACCTTAAGAGCTCATAGGAGAAACAAAAAATTCACCAGCTGCAAAATGTTCGTCTAGCACATTTCATGGTCTCACCGGTTTGTAAAAAAAGCCTGCTGTGTTTACATTTTTGTTATCGTACACCCGTACCACCTTTTAAAAGTCCAAGCCATGGGTCCAGCAGACTATCTGCCGCGTCGACGTTTTTGCCGTTGGTGGCTGCAGCAGGAGTTGAGGCAACCAAACTTTGGTCGCTACGTTTTGTTCACTGACGAGTCCTGTTTTACAAAGGACGGTTATTTTAATAGCCATAACAGTCACATTTGGGATGAAGAAAACCCTCATGCCATAGCCATCCATAGAAACCAACATCAGTTTTCAATTAACATCTGGTGCGGCATTGTGGACGAGCATATCATCGGGCCATATCTGCTTCCACCACGTTTGGATGGGCATGCTTATGGTCGATCCTTACAGCATGTGCTACCGGAACTATTACAAAATGTGCCACTGAATATAAGAGCCAACATGTGGTTTCAACACCATGGCGGTCCAGCCCACTTTTCTTTACAAGTGCGGCAGTATTTGGACGACAAATTTCCAAATAGGTGGATAGGCCGAGGTGGCCCTGTGCCTTGGCCTGCGCGGTCACTTGACCTGACCACACTGGATTATTTTATCTGGAGCTATCTGAAAGCTTTAGTGTACGAAACTCCTGTTCCCAACCAACAAGAGCTACTGGGAAGAGTGATGGCCGCGTCCGCACATGTTCAGGACATACCGGGGGTATGCCACAGAGTTCGCCGATCATTGAACAATCGTGCACAGCTGTGTATTGAGCAAGGTGGAGGACACTTTGAGCAATTACTGTAGGTAAGCTATTTCAAGAAACTGATCTTTTTTTTTGCTGCAGCCCAAACGGCATATTTCCGAACAGGGGTTTATAAGGAAAAATTGTTCATTTTGATGCCCTCTACAACCCCTATAATTTTGTCGCAATAATTATGGAACACCCTGTATATTATGTACACCTCAGCAAGTATGGACCGACATGGTCTACCACCTTTCTACTATCAGCTGTGCTTTGACAACTGTAATGTTTGTTATGTAGCTCTTGTCAAATATGAACTGTGCCAGAAATGCCTTTAATATATATTTTCTACCTTCATAAATAAAGGAAGACATAAAATGATTGTGGTAAGTACAGTAGGTTGATCAAAAGAATTGCAATAGCTTTAATGTGTATGATGTTTGTAGAGAGCAGAGTATCCCACATCAGTGTTTTGTATCATTGCTACAGAATTCTGCGAAAGGTTTTCATTTTGTGGCCTAAGAAGTGAGTATACATTTTATCTTCTTATCTGTTCAGTTGCCCATTATAGGACATTCATTCCTAACCAAATTAAATACCATTGTTAACAGGACATTACCACAAATGGCCAGCCAATCTGAGACCTGATGTTGTTTATAAAAATTCTTCACAATTCATACCACACGTCTAAGTTTTGAATACAATCGATTTATTAACATATTTATAACGCTTTGTAAATATTTTTCAGCGATCTTGTCTTTATACCTGCGAAACATACTGCTCTTCTCTGAAAATACATCGACTGTGGTGTACCACGTTTTCATAATGTGTTGTTACATTATACCTTTGGTGGGCGCCATATTGGCGGATAGCTACTTCGGAAGATATAAGTAAACAAAAATCTCATTTTTAAAGCCGAAAATATATTTTCGTTAACAACATTTTAGGACTATCAGGAATTTTTCTCTGATCTATCTGGTTGGTAATACTCTTATGTGTATAGCAGCAGTTCCTACTTTGGATGTAGCACCAATGTAAGTTAATTTATTTTAAAATACTGCTACAAATAAAGTCAGGAAAAAATAAAACGAAATTCGGATGTTTCCGTCTCTATTCGAAAGTACTTTGAATTTCGAAGCTTTCTAAGCATTTTGTCAGTTCGTTTCTCTTCCGTTTCCGAGATCCCAGTGGTGAGGGTTAAATTTTAAATGCCCCTTATATCATAGTCACAGCCGACCTCCTGCAAAGTCCACAGCTTAAATAACAGTCAGCTATGAAACTCTCCTGTCAGTGTCAAAAACGTCCGCCATTGCGGCGGAGAAAGTCGAACGTAAATTCCCCCAGTAGAACCATGAAAGAGGTTTTAGTGCTCAGCAACAGCCGGTGTTTCCTCGTGTCATGCCAGTGGCCGCAGATATTCTCTACAATCTTAAAATGTTTATATTTCGATATGATAGAGTGTACCGGCTGCTGTACCCTATTCGTAGTCCCTTTATGCCCCGGCATAACAAAGATGCAGCGCGGCAAAGCAGCAGCCGCCTAAGCGTTGCAATCGCTTTTGGTCATTCGCCCATAAGATTACGAACAAATGCAGGATTCGACAGGCTAGAACTCAGGCACGCCGACGCTGGCAGTTGCTGTTGGTATTCGGTGCATATACAGGGTGACTTCGAAGTTGAGCCATTTATTTTAACAGTGAGTAGATCTGACCAAAAGAAATGTTTTTTCCTTTACCATTTTTCTGGTAAAATTAAAGTAACAAAGTTATAGCCCTTTGGAAGTTTGAGTACCGCCCTGTCTCAATAATAATATCATGTGCTCGTGTTTGGCAACAACGGATATAATCCGCCTTATCGGTTCATCGCATCGGAAACAAAAAAGCGAAAGAATTTGGAACGATGTTTTTACAATTATTTTATTCAGTTCAGTTATACATACAGTCAGTGTCGTCAGTCGGTAACGCGTGTGAATAGTGTCTGTTGCGTGGCTCAAACGAAATAAAAAATGGCACATGTTTATGCGGATCGGTTTCCCAATCGAGTGCAACCAACCCCTCGTGCCTTTGTTAATGTAGTACAACGGGCTCGTGAATCAGGTGACTTAAGACCTCACAGGGGACCTCACGATCAAATACAGGTCCGCACTGAAATACTTGTCGGGAGGATACTTTATAAAACAAGGTAAACATTTTTTTTTAATTTTTTTTTATTTTTACACACATATTTTGGTTTATCTTCCTTCTACAATCATTATCTGAATATTAATGACTCAACTTCAAAGTCACCCTGTATAGCGTGCGTTTATGCTTTAGCATGTCTACGGATACAGCAGAACGGGGGAGTTGTCCGCAGCAGTCTTTCCTGCTCCACAGATGTTTCTTTGGAATCAGACCAGAAGGACATTATGTGGCTTCGCCTTAACTCCAAAACATCACCGAAATTTATTTGCTGCCTTTATCGCTCTCCTTCGGACCATAACTGGAATGACCTACTAGAATACCTCGCCGACCAGATCGACTTCCTGAACATCAATCACCCCGCTTCAGAGGTAGTTCTTCTCGGTGATTTCAATGCCCATAATGAGCTTTGGTTGGGCTCAAATAAGACCGATGCAGCTGGTCGTGCAGTCGAAGCGTTCGCTCTTACTCAAGGGCTGACCCAGCTGTTAACGAGCCCTACCTTTTTCCCCCGCGTCTCGTCACACGCCAGTAGCCTGCTGGATCTCTTTCTGACCACGCATCCTGTCCCTTACATCACTGCTGTCCTGTCCCCCCTGGGTAACTCGGACTACGGTGTTGTGGAGGTTAGGTTTCGCTCAGAACCCGCTGTGGCAGCAGAAACTCGTACAGGCCGCAAAACTTGGCATTACGGACATGCCGACTGGGAGGGGCTCAGAGACTTCTTCTCTAGCTTTCCTTGGATATATGTCTGTTTCACTGACGCGGATGCGTCGACTGTCTGTTCCTCGATAACCGAAATTATTCACGTCGGAATGGAGGAATACATCCCTCACACAGTAGAGAACAGACAAGCTGACGTCGAGTCCACAAATATAACGAAGCGGTTCGCAATGCCAAAACACAAGAATGATATAAAAGTTAGGTACAGGGTAATGTCGCAGCGCAATGGCAGTCTTTCTGGATGCTGGACAAGCAGATTGAAAAGAATTTCTCACACAGTCGCCTACCGCCTCTTACGTGTCAGGATGGAACGATTGTATTCGACTCAAAGGCCAAGGCGGAAGTGCTAGTCAAGATCTTTGCTGCCAAATTCACCATGGACGTTCCCCCCCATCCCCCAAGTGCCGTCAATTCAAAGGGTTCCCTACACTAGGCGGGAGGTAACATTCCGGCATAAGACCGTAAGACGAGTGCTCTTGTCGCTCGGCATCAACAAAGCTTCTGGTTCGGACTTGAGTCCTGCTATTATACTGAAGAGGTGTGCAGCGCAGCTTGCTCTATTTCTTTCGCGTCTCTTCCAGATATCTTATGAATCCGGCACGTTCCCAGAAAACTGGAAGTTTGCTCATGACCAACCCATCCCAAAAAGAGGATCTAAGACTGACCCTTACATCCCTACAGGCCTATAGCTCCGCTTTCTGTTATAAGTGAGGTGATGGAGAGGTGCATAAATCGTGAGCTTCTGGCCTACTTCGACCGTCACAGCTTGATTAGCGACAGGCAGTATGATTTCCGGCACCAACGATCCATTGGGGACCTCCTAGCTTACGTCACGCAATTGTGGAGTAAAGTCTGATGGTGCGGCTCATGTCGTTGCTCTTGACATCACGAAAACATTCGATCAGCTGTAGCACACTGCCCTCTTGAGCAAACTTCCATCCTATGGCCTCCCAGAAAAGCTTTGCAGATGGGTGGCTGACTTTATCTCTGACCGTAAGATATCCGTCGTAATTGACGGGTCCTCCTCTTCACCCCACAACGTAAGCGCGGTCTTGGCTCCGACACTGTTTCTCTTACATATCAACGACCTCCTTTCCTGCTCGATCAACCCAATCGACAGCTTCGCTGATGATAGCACTCTACATGCAGGAATTCAGAGTGTCAAGGCGATCTCTGCCTTTGAGCTGGGAAAAAGAAGACTAGCGACGGCTTCCTCACTGACAAAAGACCTGGAGGCTATCACTGTTTGGGGACACTCTGTGCCCAGGCCTAGTCTGGAGTATTGCTCACACGTTTGGGGTGCTACCGCACCGACTACATTATCCATGCTCGATGCTGTCCAGAGCAGGGCGGTTCGACTGATCGATGGCTCTTCTCTAACAAACAATCCCTGGACTTTTTCGCACCGGCGGGCCGTCGGCGATCTAGCTCTTTTCTTCTACCGCTACATCAACGAGCTTTGCTCCTCAGAGCTCTCTTCCATGATGCCGCCGCGCGATGAGTCTGCCAGACAGACCCGCCTGACTTTGGCGTCCCATCCTAACCGTGTCGAACTTCGTACATCCAGATCTGGCCGATACGACTGCTCCTTTGTCCCGAGGGTGTCGAGATTGTGGAACAATCTACAAGAGGAAGCTTTTCCCAGTTCTACTAATCTTAGGCAGTTCAAAAATCGTATTAAAAAAAATTCTTTGGTATCATCGTAGCAGCCGCGGCGTTCCGGCATTTAGGCTCCTGCCTGCGCGGCTGCTCCGATATAAAAAAAGAGCGAAATTTTAGAGCATCCTGAAATGAAAATTCATGATATTGAAAGACGTGTAGCGATCAAAATAAGCTTATGTCCTAAGACAATTTTCAACATTGTTAAAGAATATAAAAAACCCAAAAACTGCCTCCAACACACAAGAGGCTGTTACACGAAGCTGTTGGATACAGTTGATAACTTTAATCGGAATGCCGTCAGACAGAAGGTCTATCAATTTTTTGAAAGGCAGGAACTTCCTACCATAGACAAGTATTATAGGAGGTTAATAGTGATGAAAACTTACCTACTATCAAAAGGACCACATTCTATAGTTTACTCAAATAACTTTAATTTGAGTATAGAAAACAGGGCAGAAATAGTATTTTGATGGACAGCCAAGAGATTGTACTTTATAGAGAAGAAATTATTTAAAATCAATAAAAAAATACCGCGACCAGGGCAGGGAGATTTATTACTTGGATGAAACCTGGATAAATGCAGGACATACAAAACCTAAGGTATCGTATTCTACAATTAAATCAGCCAGACAAGCCTTCTTAGATGGACTAACCACTGGCCTAGAGAATCAGTCAGGTACGTGTATCTAACCAATTCGTCATTTGTGTTGTAAAAACGGTGTCAAGTAGATTGAAACTATGAGCCTACGCTGAAAACTTAGCTACACTAAACTTAGCTATATCTGGTAGATTTGGAGCCAACACCTGTTAGATACTCTGCTTGTAGTATCATTAGTTTTCTTCAATACTGTCTCAAAGGAAAACGATTTGTCACATTGGCAGTGAAGATGGCTTTGTGCCCATTGCTCTATTTGCATTGAAGTCAAAGAAAACGACAGACTACCATGAAGAAATGGACGGGAGTTCATTTGAACGATGGTTTGAAGAAACGCTCCCAAAGCTTGACGACAATGCCGTCATTGATAATGCTGCATACCACACTAGAAAGCTAGAAAAGATTCCCACAATGTCTACAAGAAAGGCAAAAATTCAACAATGGTTTCTATCAAAAGACATTAGTTTCAATGAAAATATGGTCAAAGAAGAACTTACTCATCTCACACTGAAATTATTTGGGCAAATATAGAAAACTATGTGGCTTCAAACAATAGAACATTTAAACTTTATGACAAGAAAAATTTGTTTTATGAAGCTGTCAACAGAGTCAAAGATTGCATCCGTCACGTTCAAGAAACAATCGAAACAAAGATGTGGGATCTCGAAAATATGATCGATATTCAAATTGAACCTGTAATACTTAATATTAACCATTACTACGATGACTCAAATACTTTCAGCGAATAAAGAAATAAAAAAATAATCATTTCTTTTGTTAGATTATTCCAAGACCATTGAGGAAAATACGGACCTGTACATCCCGCTTTTGGGCATGTTGTGTTTTGTTTGAGCGTAAATGGACTACGAATGGGGTATACAAATTCTTTCATATTTGTACTGGGGGAATTTACATTCGACATTCTCCACCGAAATAGCGGCCGTTTTGACACTGACAGGATCATTTCATAGCTGATTGTTATTTAAGCTGTGCTTAGGCGTAGGAGCCCTATAGCCTATAGCAAACGCACTAAATACTTCCTTGTACTAACTTCCCATGTTTTCAGCACCTTTTCAATGATCGGCCTAGCGCTGATAGCTATTGGAACTGGAGGTATCAAGCCTTGTGTGGCAGCATTTGGTGCAGAGCAGTTTGATCTGCCAGCTCAAAAAGAACTGCAGTCACAATTCTTTTCTGTATTTTACTTCGCCATCAATTTAGGAGGCTTCGTTGGCATGGTTCTAACGCCGGTTATGAAGAAAGCTGTGACCTGTTTTGGAGAAGATACCTGTTATGCGGTGGGGTTTGGGTTTCCTGCTGCACTCATGGTGTTGTCTTTATGTAAGATAAAACTGCTTGAAATAATTTGTCACGATAGGCTAACGAATTACTCGAACAGATTACAGGGTGTTCAAGAAAAGGATCTCAGTACTTGTAGGAGATACAGGTTAGGTTAAAATAGTAAAAAACTTGTAAAAATTTCATGGCTTACTGAGGTATTTGGGAAAAACAAAAATTAGGCCAAAACGTTTTCGTCTGTTTCTGACTCTAAGAAATATCAAAAAACTAGTGAAACTTTTAATGGCACTGTTTAGGCACTACATGATGGAGTTTTTAAAATTTGTGCCCGACGTTGCGTTTTTGAGTGACCGTCATCATCTTTATTTGTTTATATTGTCCCAAAACAGTACTGATTTCATCTTTTTCTATCAGTTCAACGATTTATCACATGTTACATTTGTTTTCTTAGTTAAAGATAAACATGTGTTGTTTTGTTTTTTTTATTTTATTTAAGTAGCTGTTGCAAACAGATGCTTGATGTAAAATTATTTGATTACTGATAGAGGCATTTTACATAATACATAATGATATGATGGGGTGAAATTTAATAAAATTATGCTTAATCCTGTGATATTCAGAATAACAAATACATTTTCAACATTATTTTTATTTTATTCACAATAGGTGTTTAAATGCCATTATTTTCTGGGCATAAATATGATCCTCTAACAGTAGAAACCAAAACATTTCTGGTGTAATAATACTAAATGCTTGCTTTAAACATTCTAAACTGAGTGACAAAACAGGTAAACACCCATGAATGTTTATCCGATATAATATAGTAAATAGTATATAATATTTAAAATAGTATATATATATATACTAAGTGACATATAAATCCGAACACCCAGTTTAAATGGTTTTATTTTAATAAAACTTTGTATAAGTACTTAATGAAGCATAATAAGTAAATGATAAAAATTTCAAAATGATTGCACTGCTTTAAAGCCCTTTGACCTTTAATAATGTGTGGATGCACCCTGATGTGCTACGCATTCTCCAACGTACCTAGGCATGCTTCTGATCAGGTGGTCAATGTCCTCCTGTGGTATCTCATTCCAGGCAACCACCAACTCCTTTCGAAGTGCTTCTAGAGTATGAGGAGGACGTTGCAAATTGAGCAATCTCCTAGCCATCATATCCCACACGTGCTCAATTGGGGATAAGTCGGGAGATCTTGGTGGCCATGGTAACAATGTGACATTATTATGTTGAAAGAAGTCTATTGTGACTCTTGCAACATGTGGTCGGGCATTATCTTGTTGGAAAGTTGGATCTGCCAGGGTGTCAAGATAGGGTAAAAGATGGGGTTCTAGAACTTCGTGGATATAACGCTGCGCGTTCATGTTACCTCTGATGAAGGTTAAAGTTGACCTGGAACCATAAGCTATAGCACCCCAAACCATAACTCCAACATTGTGATGAACATGTTTTTCAACAAAAAACTGTGGATTCCTCCTTTCACCACGTTGCCTTCTAACCCTGGCACGACCATCGTGCATGCCTAAACAAAATCGAGACTCGTCACTAAAGACAATACTGTTCCATTCCTGATCCCAGAGTGACCGTTTCTGCACCACTCAAGGCGATTACGTCGGTGTTCTCGAGTTAAAGGGAGGACCCAGTGTGACCGGTATGAAAACAAGCCAAAACTTCTCATTCGTCCGTAAACACATCGCATGCCAATAGGTCTTCCGTGTTCCGCAAACCATTCATTTGCAATGGACCTGGTATTGGAGAAACGGTCCCTTAAGGCCAATAATCTTAGGCGGCGATCTTCACGGTCTGTTGTTCTACGGCGGCGTCCAGTGCCCCTTGCTCTTTGCGTACGGTCTTCTCGAAGCCATGCCTGACAACACCTAACCACAGTGTCTACACTTCTTTGCACTCTAACTGCAATTGCCCGAAAAGAAAGTCCAGCTTCCCGAAGTCCCACTATATCGCCCCTATCAAACTCACTAAGTTGACGAAATCGTACGGGTCTCCGTACTCTAGGCATCGTAACCGATCGCAAAGGATGTCAAGAACCAAAATCCGCCAACGTTGATTCTTTACTGCGGCTAAAATAGTCATTTTTAGAGCGTTAGTGAATTAAAAAAAAGCAGTATAAAAACCGGAATGTCCAACTGATAAGGCTGAAAATTTTTTCATTTGTTATTTACAGTAAGATAAATACATTCAGCAACTTTTATTAAAATAAAACCATTTAAACTGGGTGTTCGGATTTATATGTCACTTAGTATATTTTGGTACCTAGAATTCTACACCCACATATTATAACCAAAACATTCTTGATGTCCGGATACCTCTTTAGCCCGCAGATTTTCTTGGCCCAGTAATTATTAGTGACCATACTCTCATCGGGCCATATTATATAAAAGGCAAACCCTGAATTTATAGGAGTGATATGTATTTTCAACCAAAATAAATTATGCTGTGGATTTGGCTACTCCTACATGTTTCTCAATTTGTCTAGTTGATATCTCAGAATTCTCAGCAACTGCTTGTAAAACACTATTCCCATTCCTCATAAAGATTCCTTTTTTTCTAAATGTAACAGGCTTTTTTAATAAACCATATTCTTTATGGGAAATTTATCAACATATATTCCTGCAGCATTTTTGTAGCACAAAAAGTAGCACGTCAGCGTGTCGAAAATTTTCTATGATACATCGTTAAAGTCGTATAAAAAATATTGATACAAGGTGTACTTTTTTCAGATAATATAAAGAATAAAGTTGGTGATGGTTTCACAAAAGCGAACCGTGTCGCGAACAAAACTTAAAAACACCATCTATTCGTCATTGTTTGTCAGAGCGGTCCGTAGGACCTTTGCTTCTGGTTAAAGTCTTGTATGGCAGTAGGTCTGTCAGGTTTGGTTGCCCAGATACCAAACAAAGTCAGGGATAAAGAAGGGAAGAAGAAAGGAAGGAAGGAGGGAGAGCAAAGAAAAAAGAAGTGCGTCAATTTGAGGGGTGCCTTGGCGTTTCTAATTAGTATTCGGCAATTTTAAATTGATTCTAAAATTAAGTTTGAGATTGGTTGTAGAAGAAAAATTATAATTTTGGTTGGACCTAAAGTCCCACGATTTCATTTTGTTCACAGTACGAGTCGCGGCCTAATATGCTTGTGAACTTGCTCGACGGTGTAGTCTACTGACTCGCGCAACAAAGTGTTGCTATGTGATTCTGCTTGATTATAACGTAGTTGCGCTTGTTGTTTGATGTAGTCCCCTACGCAAGCGATGTCAAGGTCTCTGTGAAGGGTCTCGTTGGAAACATACCATAAAGCGTTAGTGATTGTACGCAAGGTTCTGTTCTGCAAAACCTGCAGGCTACGCAAATGCGTTTTGGCGAGAAAACACCAAGCCGCACTTGCGTAAGTGATCGCTGGTCTAATAACTATCTTGTATAGCCGAACTTTGTTGATCAAACTTAATTTTGATGTTCTACATAGCATAGGGCAGAGTTGCCGAAACGAGATTTGGAATTTAGTTTTCAATGCTTCAGTGTGCTTCTGACAGGTCATCCCCTTGTCATTAGTGACACCGAGATACTTAACAGAGCCTTCCCATGGTACCCGAGCTTCATTCACTGAAACCTCAGACGGGGCGCCGCTACGTTTTTTAGTACAATAGATTGCCTGCGTTTTTGAATGATTAATTTTTATCAGCCACCGATTCGCCCATTCCCATACCTCGTCCACTGCACTTTGCAGCCTGTCGTGAACTAGATCCACAGAGCACGACTGGGCCACCAGGGCAGTGTCATCAGCATAGAGATAGGTTTCACAGCTGCTGGGGCAAGGGACGTCATGAATAAAAAGTGAATAAAGGACTGGTCCAAGAACCGAACCCTGAGCGACACCGGCTTTGATGGGCCGTGTTTTCGACAGAACGATATTAATTTTGGTCCGAAATTTCCTACCCTCGAGGAAGGATTTCAAAAGTTTTAGGAGCCAGAAGGGGAAGCCCTTATGGATCACTTTGTAGAGAAGGCCCTTGTGCCACACCTTGTCAAATGCCATTGACACATCCAGAAGCAAGATGCCAGTACTTTTGTTACGGGTGAACCCCCTGGTTACTCGTTCAACAAGCCTTATGGGATGTAGCTTCGTACTATGCTCAGTTCGAAAGCCAAATTGCACGTCAGGAATCACATTGTGGTCTGCCGAGAAATTTTCAAGGTGACATAGAATCACCTTTTCAGCGAGTTTAGAAGGAGCTGACAGTAGACTAATGGGGCGGTAATAGTGGGGGAATATCGAACCCACCTTCTTTAGAAGCATTATGACATCAGCTGTCTTTCACGCCGTTGGGAAGTGCTGGGTCCTTAGCATGGCATTGATTATTGCCACGAGATGAGTTAAGGACTTCCGCGAAAGTAGCTTCAGCGCCTTATTAGTGATTCGATCCTCTCCAGGTGCTTTAATATGACCTTGGAGCTCTGCTGGTGTACAATGCGGAGTCTCAGGAGATTCCGCTGATGTGCCGTGCAGCTCTTCAATTGAGGAATCTTCTGAAGATTCCTCTGAGGAAAAATCACTAAGGGAGGCACTACTGCCACTGACGCCGTTGGCCCTAAAATATCTCCTGACGGATCTTACAAGATGTTGCTCCTCGTCGAGGTCATAGTTGGGAGAGAACCTCGACCTTTTCCTCTCTCCTACAGACTATGCCCCTATGACCGTGGATGTCCGGAAGTTGTTATCGCTTTCCGTTTCTGAGCGGCTTTGCAACTTTCCAGAGAGGAATATTTGAGTCAAGCCTCCCCGACAGAAAGTCGCTCCATTGCTCATTACGAAATTTATGAAGAGCATTTCACACTTCATGAACAAGATTCGTTGCTCTGCGAATGTCATCTGGGTGATAAGACCTCTTCGCTAGCTTAATTGCAGCTCTTTTGTCAGAAATTTTCTGACGAATGTCTGCAGGGAGAATTTAAAAACACCATCATGTAGTGCCTAAAAAATGGCAATGGAAAAACTTCATTAGTTTCTTG